TATTGCTATTATATTGAAATGCGATTAATTTTAATTATTTTAGGCTTACACACTTCAACCTTGCTAAACTCTCTCATATTCCTAGGAGATTTCTGTAGATTCTTGGGGTTTTCTATGTGGACACTCACATCCTCTGTGAATACAGACCATTGTATATCTTAATTTCCAATGTGTATGACTTGTATTTCTTCTTGCTGGTTGCACAGTATGGTGTTGAGTAGGGGCCGTGAGAGAGGACATCTGTGTCTTTTTCCTGATCTTTGGAGGGAAGCTCTCAGTCTTTTACAATTAAGTATGGTGTTTGCTATAAGTTTTTCACAGTTGTCTTTTATCAGGTTAACAGGTTTTCCAATTATTCCTAGTTTACTATAAGCTTTAAAAAAAAAATTGAACAGGGGAGAACCCTCCCCAATTCATTCTATGAGGCTTACATTACCCTGATAACAAAGCCAGGCAGAAAACCACAAACAAACATCCATTACAAAAATCATGCAAAAGTCCTCAACAAAACACTAGCAAACTGAACTCAGCGGCACAGTGAAGAGATTACACACCGCGAGCATGAAGGACGCGTTTCTGGAATTCAAGGATGGTTCCACTTATGAACATCAGTCAGTATAAAACCCCACGCTACCAGCATAAAGAGAACAGCGCAGGCTCATCTCCATCGATACTGAAAAAGCATTTGACGACATTCAGCACGTTTCCATGGCAAACCACTCAACAGACTAGGAAAAGCAGGAACTACCACAGCATAATAAAATATTTGTGTGAAAACCCCTCAGCAAAGATCGTACTCAACTAGGGAAGACTGGGAGCTTTTCCTCTAAGATCAGGAACGGGACAGGGATGCCCCTTTTAGCCACTTTTATTCATCCCGGTACTGGAGGTTCCCAAGAGCAGTTGGACAATGAAATAAATAGTAGCAATGAAATAAATAGTGAAGATTGGAAAGGGATAAGTAAAATCACACCTGTTCACAGATGTCATGACCTTATATATAGAAAATCCTAAAGACGTGTTAGCACTAGTAAATGAATTCAGAAAAATAGCAGGAGACAAGGTCAACACACAAAAATCGGTTGCATTTCTATATACAAACAATGGACAACCCCAAAAGGAAATTATAAAAATAATTCCATTTATGATTGCTTCAAAAAAGAATAAAATAAAAGGAATTGGTCAAGGAGGGGGAAGTCCTATACAACGAAATCTATGAAACGTTGGTGAAAGACGGTAAAGAAGACATAAATAAATGGAAAGACAGTCCACGTTCACGGGCGGGAAGGCTCAGTGTTGTTAAGGTGTCCAGACTACCCAAAGCAATCTACAGACGTAATGCGATCATTATTGAAATCACAGTGACGGTGTCCATTTGCAGTGACGGGGATGGAACTAGAGGGTATTCTGCTGAGCGAAGTAAGTCAGTCAGAGAAAGACAATTATTATATGATCTCTCTGATTTGAGGAATTTGAGAAACAAGACAGAGGATCACATGGGAAGGGAGGGAAAAATGGAACAAGACAAAACCAGAGAGGGGGACAAACCCTAAGAGACTCTTAATCTCGGGAAACAAACTGAGGGTTGCTGGAGGGGGGGTGGGTAGGGGGATGGGGTGGCTGGATGATGGACACTGGGGAAGGTAATTGCTATGGTGAGGGCTGGAAATTGTGTAAGACTGATGAGTCACAGACCTGCACCCCTGAAGCAAATGATACATTGTATGTTAATTAAAAACAATCCCAATGACATTTTCACAGAAACACAAAACCACCCACACTCATATAGAATCTTAAGGGACCCTGAAGAGCTGAAACAGTCCCGCAAACACAAAGCTGGGGACTCGCGCCTCCTGATTTCAGAGCCACAAAGCTACAGTAATCAAAGTAGGATGATGTCGACGTGAAAACAGGGTGGCCGGGAGACATATAGACCAATGCAATAGACCGGAGTCCGGGAATAAACCTTCACCTTATAGGTCAAATCAGCTTTCACAAGGACACCAAGTCCATTCAACGGAGAAAGGACAGCCTTGTCTTGTCTTATCTTTTAAAGATTTTTTTTATTTATGTGGGAGAAAGAATGAGTGAGAGCATGAGAGGGGAGCTGTCAGAGGGAGAAGCAGACTCCGCACTGAGTGGGGAGCCCGATGTGGGACTCCATCCTGGGATTCCAGGATCACGACCTGAGCCACAGGCGGTTGCTTAACCCACTGAGTCCCCGAGGTGCCCCAGGACAGTCTTTTCCACAAATGGTGCTGGGAAAACTGATGACCCATGTGCAAAAGAATGAAGGTGGGCCCCGACGTCACACAACACACAAAAATGAACTCAAAATGGATCCAGAACATAAATGGAAGACCTAAAACTATAAAACTCTTGGAAGAAAACACAGGATGAAAGCTTCGCAACATTGGATTTCACAAGGATTTCCTGGAAATGACACCAGCGGCACAGGCAACAAAACAAAACAAAACAAAACAAAACAAAACAAAAATTGGACCTCATGAAAACTCTAAATATTTTTTGCATCAAAAGACAATACCAATGGAGAATAAAAGGTAACTCAAAGACATGGGAGAAAACATTTGAAAATCACATTCCGATCAGGGATTAATAGCTAAAATGCATGAGAACTCCCAAAACTCAGTAACAAAAAGCCAAACAACCCTATTCAAAAATGAGCAAAGGACGTGAATAGACACAGAAGATGTACAAATTCTGTGACCAACGAGCACATGAAAAGATGCTTGATGTCACTCACTATTAGAGAAACTAAGTCCAACCACAGTGACAAGCCCCTTACACCCATTACGATAGATACATAATATATATAAGACTTCTGTAAATGCAAACACAATGTACGTACAAGGAGAAGACATCTTTGTATATGGATATTATATATAAGATTTTATTTATTTATTTATTTGACAGACAGAGATCACAAGCAGGCAGAGAGGCAGGCAGAGGGAGAGGAGGAAACAGGCTCCCCGCTGACCAGGGAGCCCGATGCGGGGCTCGATCCCAGGACCCTGGGATCATGACCTGAGCCGAAGGCAGAGGCTTTAACCCACTGAGCCACCCAGGCGCCCCTGGATATTATATATAATAGATATATTGTAACAAGGAGAAGATATCGCATGTTGATGATAATGTGGCGAACTTGAAGCCCTCCTGTGTAGTGAGTGAGAGCTGAAAATGGTACAGCCGCTGTGGAAATCTATAGGGTGGTTCTTCGAAAAATTAACAGGGGAGTTACCGTACGATCCAGTAAATATACAGGTATATGTTCAAAAGAACCGAAAGCAGGTATTTGAAGAGAGAGTTGTACGGCGGTGTTCACAGCAGCGATACTGACAAGAGCAGAGCCCAGGGCCCACCCGCGGGCCATCCACGCAGCGGACTCGCCGTCGGCCCTAAAAGGGAAGCAGGTCTGACTTCAGCATAATTGAAGCGTGACGAGGACATTAGTCACAGAAAGACAGCTACTCCATGATTCCACTGATGCGAGGAATTTCAGAGACAGAAGGTGGAAGGGCAGGCGCCGAGGGCTGGGGGAGGGGGCTGGCGAGGCAGTGTTCGAGGGGACAGGGTTTCATCTTCCCGGGAATGAGAGGAGTCCTGGAGATGGATGGTGGGGATGGCGGCACGACACTGAGGATGTACTAAGCGCCGCTGAACTCTGCGTTGAAACTGGTTAGGACGGTAGACGAGGTTATGTGTATTTGGCATCAAGAAAAACAAATTGAAAAAAGAAAAAAGAAGAAAAAGAGTGCGATCAGGCCAGGAAGAAACCGGGAGGAAATTCACATGCCTGTGAGTGACTGAAAACAGCCAGTCTGAGAAGTCTCCATGCTCTGTGCACGAGGAAGGACCCCTCTAAGGAGACAGGAGACCAGCAGGTGCCGCGGCTGCAGGGGAGGGGCAGATGGAGCACAGGGCAATTTCAGGGTAGAGAGACCCACTGTGACAGGGTCTCTTCTCCGGCGCTCTCACCCCAAGCCCAACCCCTGGCTGCCTGGGCCTCTTCCCAACTCCATCAGGGTTCTTGGCGCTCCACTGGGTTTGCCCTCCTTCATGGGGGCTGGACACATTCTCCAGCTGGTGGGAGGGCCAGCTGGGACATGCACCTTGCTTCTTCCCCTCCCCCCATGCTTGTTCTGTGAACCTCAGGCCCAGGATCTGACAGCCTGACTTCATGGTCTTAGTGCTCTTAGTTGGTCTCGGGGGGGAAGGTATCCAGTCCGTGTTTCCCCATCTTGATGGGAGCAGTGCCTCCCCCACGCAACCACCTTTCTGCTAAATAGGTACAGTGCACGGGAGGACCCCAGGGGGTCCCCAGGACCATAGGAGCTGTGCTGCCTGCAGACCCAGGCCGGCTGGTCTAGGGCCAGTTTGCCCAGCTGGGGCTGTGGGTGGAAACGGGCCAGGGGCTGAGAACCCCCAGACCACGACCCGTGTGCAGGTGGCCAGCCTCGGGAAGCCCTGGGCACGCAGGGTCCAGCAGCCCTGACCTTCCTGGGCCAGGGCGTGCCTCCCACCCTGGGGCCCTGCCTGTGGGATTTCTTAGTCCCTCATTTTTAGAAATGTTCCTGGGTGGAGGAGACCAAAGTCTGGTCAGACCCCTGGACCCCCACCCCCATGAGGGTCGGATGAAAGGAAGCAGATGCGCTGGTGAGTGAGTTTATTGGGGTGTCTGAGCAGGCGCTGAGAGGTCAGCAGCTGAGGTCACAGGACCTGAGCCGAGAAACTGGGAGGGAAGGACGGGGGACCCAGAAGTGTGGAGGCCCCTCCTGGGAGCAGGAGCCCTGGGGACCAGCGGGGTCAGCGTTCTTGGGAGCTATAAGGTCAAGGTCATGTCAGCAGAGTGGACGCATGGAAGACCCTGTCCCGGGTGTGGGCAGCCACCTAACAGGTCAGGACCGGACTGAGGGGGCTGGGAGGACCACTGTCACTGGGTGGGTCCTGAGCCCAGCTGGCCCCGGGGATGACGGACCCCGTCAGCAGCAGGACTTCTGGGCCGAGGCGGGCACACAGGAGGCCTGGCGGGAGCCCACAGGGCGGCAGAGCAGGGACACGCAGGAGGCCCCGCGGCAGCAGCTGGGCTGGCAGGAGGAGGCGGGGGCACAGCAGGAGGAGGCGGGCACGCAGCAGGCGGGTCTGCGCACGGGGCGGCAGAGCAGGGACACGCAGGAGGACGGTCTGCAGCAGGACGAGGAGCAGGGGCTGGGCTGGCAGCAGGAGGAGGCCGAGCAGGGGGAGGGCCCAGAGCAGACAGGGGTGCAGCAGACAGGGGTGCAGCAGACGGGCTTGCAGCAGACAGGGGTGCAGCAGACGGGCTTGCAGTAGACAGGGGTGCAGCAGACGGGCTGGCAGCAGTCTTCCTGGCAGGGGGAGGAGCTGCAGCCGGAGGGCTGGCAGCTAGACTGCTGGCAGCATGAGGAGGCTGAGCAGGGGGAGGCCTGGCAGCAGACAGGGGTGCAGCAGACGGGCTGGCAGCAGACAGACACACAGCAGTCTCCCTGGCAGGGGGATGAGCTGCAGCCGGAGGGCTGGCAGGAGCTGGTGCAGGCTGACTGGCAGGGGCTGGACCCGCAGCTCGCAGGGGTGCAGATGAGGGTCAGGCAGGAGGCTGGGGCACAGCAGCTGGAGTCACAGCAGCTGGGGACACAGCAGGGGGGGGCATAGCAGCTGGGGACACAGCAGGGGGGGGCACAGCAGCTGGGGACACAGCAGGGGGGGGCACAGCAGGGGGGCTCGCAGCAGCTCTCTGGGCAGTCGTCCACCTGCCAGGAGTCGGGGCAGGAGTCACAGGAGCCGGGCAGGCAGACGCGGCTGCCGTAGCTCAGGTCGCTGGAGCAGACGGACAGGGTGGACGCGGCCATGGTGGGGCGGTGGGGCTGGAGGAGGCTGAGAGTGTGAGTGTGTGTGAGTGTGAGTGCGTGACTATGGTAGGTGCTCAGGCTGCTGGCTTTTATACCCACCGTGATGTGTATGTTGTCCCAACAGTAGGCTTAGTGAAGCCTTCCCTTCCTTGTTGGTGTTTAGTGTTGTGATGTGTTCCTGGTGCTGGTTCGCTGTGAGACTGCTGGCCTGTGTGGCACTGAGTGTAGTTCAGCCTATCCTGACCTGTGTTTGTCCCCAGAGGAAAGACAGTAAAAATGCTTTGATGCTTTTGTAGAGACCAAAGAAATCAGGTGATTTCCTTAAAATGACAGCCTGTGCTCCAACCCACAAGGGGTTGCCCTTCTACCTCAAGGGAAGAGATGAGGATGGGGCGCCCGAGAGTTTGGGCTTTGAGCAAAGGGAGAGACGCTCGGCTGGGCTGGCTGTGGGCCAGGGGCACTTTGTGGGTTGGTGCTGCTGGCTGTAGTGGGTGTTGATGGGGCATGTCTCCCAGGAGTGAGCCCTGGGGCAGGTATGAGGAAAGTGTCCTGGGGACAGAGATGGGCTCACAGAAGGGGCCGTGGTAAAGGCTACAGGCTAGCACAGTAGGAAGGACCATGACAGGCAATGGGTTTGCTCCACTGCTTCATGCCCCAGTACTGAGACCTGTGTACTGAGGTGGGTACACAGCTTCTGGCATGGGCCCTCATGTCCTCATGGACACTTGGTCACTCTCTTTTGCCAAGTCTCTGAAGGGGCAAGGGCAGGACCCTTGGTGATGCTCTGAGCTGCGGGGCTCCATCCACGGCTTGTTGGGGGCCAGTGGGCTGCAGGGTTGAAAGTGTCCCTGACCTCTGAGGGGTGGGGCTGGGGGCTGTCCCTGGGGCCACATGATAATCAGTCCTCAGTGGAGCAATGTTATTCTCTGAAAGACATAATGGCTTAAAACCTTCCAAATCTATCTAAAAACTATAATCCATAGATCTGGAGAGCTCAATGAACTCCAAATAAGATACACACAAAAGACCCATGAGAGTGCTCAAGACAAAAAAAAAAAAAAAAAAGAAAGAAAAAAAAAGTCAATCAAGAATCCTCTATCCAACAAAGCTATGTTTACAAATGAGTCCGAATACATTCCCAGATAAATAAAAACTGAAGGAATTTGATGCTGGCAGTCCCACCTTATAAAACACATTGTCGGGAGTCCCTTGGGTTGGGAATTCTGATCCGCAGGAGGACTCGGAGCTCGCCAGTCAAGGAGGTCATGTGATTACAACAGACAGGGTGGCCCCGAGCTTTCCTCCTTTACTGAGTCTCCTGTGGTTTGCTTTTCCGACTAAAGCAGCTGCCTGCAGCAGGACTCCCAGACTGCATTGCGGGGTCTGGGGCGTGAGGTGATGTATTCGACAACACAAAAGAGGCAGGTGGGAGCAAAGCTGCAGTGGGCAGAGGAAATGACCGCAGAGGGCACCTTGGATCACAGGAAAGTGTCAAGGGAACAAGAGATGATCAAAAGCCTAGGAGAACCAAAGCTGAAAATACAACTCTTGCTTTCCTGTCTTCTCTCAGCTTCTTAGAAGTCATAAAAGCATATTAGGTAATAATTATAACAATATATCGAGAGGTTTTTAACATTGACAGGTGGAGTGTATGTAACAGCAAGACCACAAAGGGACAAGAAGGGATGGAGCTCTGTATGAAAAGGAGCCTGTTTTTACGTCACTGGAATTGACTTAGTGGAAGTCGGAAGCTAATTCTGCCATGTTAAAATAAACATGGAAGCCCCAGAGCAAAACTAGGAAAAACTAAAAAAAATAGTGAAAAATCATTAAAGAAATAAAAACACTGCATGCAAAAATATTTGCTAAGCGCAAAAGAGCACACCAAAGAAGGACAAGAGGAACACACATAAGAGACACAAGACACAGAGGAAACAAGACAGTGACGTGGCCGGCAAGATCCAGCCACAGCCCATTCATACCACTGACGGCGACGTGTTACAGAAAATCACTGCACGTGCTGGGTTAGCAAATATTAACCATCACTCCTAGGGGAACTAGAGTTAGCTTCCTGTGGGCCCTGGTCCCATTTTCGTCAACTGATCAATGTCTGTGCCTGGGAAAAATGCAGTGTCATTCTTCACTCACGTGTAATGCTTCTGACACCAGGTGTGTGGGTTTTTCCCATGGGCCAGCTCTCTAACACTTTCTGGGCGTCCCACAGTTCAGTTCCATTCTGACACTGGTGCAGAACCCCAGGTTAAGAGCTCAGACTCATGAGACTACCCCCACTTCAGATTCCAACAGTAGATGCCCAGTTACCCATAACCTGTGATTAGGCTACAAGGAAGAGGGTCCTATGATCTCCTCCTTGGGTTCAACACTTTGCTGGAGGAGCTCACAAAACCCTGGAAAAGAACTGACTTCCTACTGCTGACTTATTGCAAGGGATATTTTTAGGATAGAGACAAACAGCCACATGGAAGGATAGAGAGGGCAAGGTTGCAGGGGCCCTGCGTGAAGGAGCTTCTCTCCCTGTGGAACTGGGCTGTGCCACCCTCTTGGCATGTGGACACATTCAGCAAACTGGAAGTTCTCAGAATTCTATACATTTGGGATTTTTATGGAGGCTTCATCATGCACACATGATTGATTATTAACTCAATTTCTAGTTCCTCTCCTCTTTCCTGAGGTTGGGGATGGGACTGAAAGCACCAAGCTTCTAATCAAAGCTTGGTCCTTCTGGTGAGTAGACCCATCCTGAAGCCAACTAAGAATCACTTCATTATAGCAAAAATCGTTCCAACCACCAGGAAATTCCAAGGGATTTAGGAGCTCAGTGTCAGAAACTGGGGTTGAAGACCAAATATTAGCAAGAATGAGGGACAGAGACATTTATATTTGTATATATATATATATATGTACATATATATATATATATATATCAATATACATTATCATTTCACAATGAATACTTATTATTTGTTGCTGACTCTTTAACACTGAAGTCACTCCCAATAGCAATATAGCACACCCCTGAAAGAAGCTTATCTAACACAAGCACTTTCCCTGTGAGGCACATCACAGCCTTCTTGTACTTAGGAGGCCATTTCAAACTGTGACCTCACCAATAAGAAGCACAAGAGCCTGGAGAACGTGGCTTAAATAGACAGCACAGGATACTTGTTTGCAGCATGAGCTGAAGCAAGAGGCAGAGTTGTTTGACCTCAGCTGGAAACATGCATGTGGGGACACCCAATGTTTTGCTGACCTGTGCATGTCCATGAATGACTGTGAAGGCACCATGAGTATTGACTTTGAGGTTACAAATCTATGTTAGTGAGTAGGTGAAGTTGCAATTGCAAAAAGCCATGAATAATGAGGACCAACTATAAATCAATAATAACATTAATTGTGAATTAACTCATACAATCAAAGGGATGATTGTTAGACAGGATAAAATTGAGATTAAGCCATACACTCATTACAGGAGACACACTTAAGAGTAAAAGATACAGCTAGATTGAAAGCAAAAGGATAGAAAAAGATATATCATGGAAACAGCAGCCATAAGAAAATAATCATGTTTTACTCACATCAGATAAAGTGGACGTAAAACAAAAATTGTTACTAGACACAAAGACATTTTTAATGATAAAAAGGTCAATCCATGGAGAATATATAATAATTGTAAACATATATGCAAATAATAACACTGAAATACACAAAGCAAAAGCTGACAGACATAAAGGAAAAAAATAGACAATAATATTAGTTAAAGACCTCACTATCCCAATTTCAACAATGGATAGAACAACTGAAGAGAAAATCAACAAGGACACAAAGAATAGCACGATAAACCAGAAAGACCTAACAGATCTGTCAGACAGCTCGGCCAACAACAGCAGAATATCCTTCTTCAGAAATGCACATGGCACATCCTCTAGGATAGAACATAGGTTATGCCATAAAACAAACCCCAATACATTAAAATGGATAGAACACAATGGAGTGAAATTAGAATTTAGTAACAGAAAAAAATTGGGGGGATTCATAAATTAAACAGTGCACTCCTGAATAACTAAAAGTTCAAAGAAGAATCAAAAGGGGGATCATAAGATACTTTTAAATGAAAGTAAAGAACAAAATACCAGAACTTACAGGAGGCAATTAAAACCCTTCTTAGAGATTTATAGCTAATAAGTACATATATTAAGAAAGATTTATAGCTAATAAGTACATATATTAAGAAAGGAGAAAGGTCTCAAGTAAATAACCTAAACTTCTACTTTAAGACACAGCAGACAAACAGAAGGAAGGAAATAATAAGAGTAGGGCATAAATAAGTGAAATAGAGAATAGAAAAATAATAAAGAAAAATCAATAAAACAGTCTCTTTGAAAAGATTGAAAAATTGAAACTTTAGCTACACTGATCATAGAAAAGAGAAGAAGAGAGGGAGAAAGCTCAAATGATGAGAATCAGAAATGAAGGGGTCACTGCTGTCAGCCTTACAGAAATAAAAAGAATTACAGAGAATTACTATGAACAACTGTATGCCAATAACTAATATAAATTAGATAAAATGAATAAATACTTAGGAACAAGATAACTGCAAAACTAGTGCTCTGAAAGCCATAGAACATCATTTTTATTTTGTTAAAGAAAATCTAAATCCATGGGAAAACATCCCTGTTCCAGGATGAGAAGAGCTGACACTGTATTATGGCAGTATTATTCCCCCATTTATGTGTTCATGTAATCCCCTATCAGGATCCGAGCTGACGTCTTAGTGCAAGTTGACAAACCGATGATAACGTTCATATGGAATTACAAGGAATGCAGAATAAACCAAAGCAATCTTGAATAGGAACAAGTCTGGAAGACTCACGTTTCCCAATTTCAAAATTTACTACAAAGCTATAGTCATCAAGATGATGTGGTACTGGCATAAGGATAGACAGTATTGGTATTTATTCATTTATCAGTGCAATACAATT